TGGATGCCACTCCTACTTCCAAACTTGAATCAATCCAGTCACCATAATTCTCAATCCTTTTGTTTGGTACATTTACACAATGGAATACTACACAGCACACAGGAGCAATGATTTTGTAAACTATTACCTAACTTGGGAGGGACCGGAGAGCATTATGCTGAGTGAACTAACTCAGTCCTACAAGAACAAATATTAAGTAAAACCATTATTTTAGAATGAGTATAAGGATCCAAGGGGTGGGGGAGGGTGTAAGCAGAGGGATGAGGATGTGTAGGGTAGGAGGGAATTGTACAATTTGATGGGTGGGGGGGGTGAGGGAAATTGGAAGAATTTGGTGCGAAAAACAATGTATTAGAATTTTGTAAATAAACTAGTATTAAAAAAAAAAAAAGAGTAGGCACTGTTGAATACTGGTGTTGGAAGATATTCCCAAGATGCACCGAGCTCAGGATGCCTGCTGCATTGCTTGGGCTCCAGCTGTTTGATCCAAATGCTGCCACTGGGAGTCACACTCATATCATAAAGAGTTGCCATGTCCAGCTACATCACCTTAGGCTGCCAGGCCACTGAGGCTCACATTGACAGACAGACCCTCTGCAGAGGACTTCACTCCTGCTCGTTCACCTTCGCCTCCAGAGTCATGCATGGTCTAACAATAGGCCCAAGGAATTTAAATCAGGTTTGGAAGAAGGAGCTCATATTTACAAATGCAATGCTGAGCACTTCAGTGAATGAAGGCCCGCATTCTGTGACATTCTGGGTCGCTGTGTGCTCTCATTTTAAAAACCCTCTTCCCTTAAGTAATTTACTGATCACTTTCTAAGACTCAAGTCTTAAAGAAGGACTAATACTACCTAAGATCACCATTGTGAAAATAGAAGGATAACTGAGCAAGATATGCATAAATTTTCAAAATAGGAGGGGGGAAGCGAAGGGGAGGCAGAAAAGGAGGAAGAGAAAAAACCTCTGCTAGGATAGTAGAGGCTAGGGGCAGATGGGAGAGATAAGAGTCAATGGAGATTGGAAAAGACCGGGTGATAATGGGCATAGATAAAGAGCAATTAATCAGATAAAATACCATGTACATGAATGAAACCAAATATATATGAATGATTATTTGCAAACCAGTAAAAACAACAACAAAAAAAAAAACTTAAAAAAAAAAAGAATTCTCCATCCATCGCTCATTGTGCTTGAATTCTCGTTATAGAGTTTAAAACTTGGTATCCCCTTATAGCTATTATAGATAAGTAACGTCTACATAGACTTATTTCATATGTACTGGTGGCCTCGTGGGTAAGGAGTTGCACTGCCAACCCAAAGGTAGGATAGCAGAATTCAACAACTACTCCATGGAAGAAAGATGGGCAACCTCCTCCTAGGTGATGTGCAGCCTCCAAAAGCCTGCTGGGAAAAAGTTATGCTGCGAGTCAGGTCTGGCTCAAGAGCAATGAGTGTTTTGAGTATATAGCACAGGGGCTCTGAAGGCGTAGTGCTCTAAAGGCTTATTGGGCTGTTAGCAAAAGGGTCCATGGTTCAAAGCCATTCACCACTCTGCAGGAGAAAGATGGAGGTTCGAAACCACATTTGGGTTACAGCACAATTCCCTAAAGCCTGTGCCAGCAGAGTTCCGTATCCTTGTTTACCTCCAACATGAGTGAAAAGATAGCAGCGAACCAGACATAGTGTTGATGTGCAATGTCTCCTTCACGGCCACAGTGCTAGCATCGGGCACCCAGTAGATGCCCATTCCTTTACAGTAAGGAAGAAAGGCTTCCCCTCGTCAGCAGAAAAACAAACAAATAGGCCATCTCTCACCTGAGTAACTGGTCCAGGCATCCTTCCAGGAAGAGGACAGAGTCCAGGTAAAGCTCTCGGAGTCGGTGCAGACCAAAAAACTGAGAGGTAACTGTGGCAATTAGTGTGTCCTCTGTCTCTGGCGAGAGGCAGGGAGTCGTTTGGATATGAGATATATGGATTTTGTTCAAATTAACCATCTGTCCCAGGTGAAGAGCAAATCTGGCCAGGGTGGGCAAATCCCAGGGGCAATCAACTTCTATCTCCTGGATATAATCCAGTCGCATCGCTTTCAGGACCTCCTCAACATTTTCAAATGCTATTCCAACAACATCCAGGGTCCTGCAACGCAGGCGTGGCAGACTTTTTTTCTGCTTCACCCTGTTAAAGAGGAAGGTGAATAATTCATCGGGAGAGTCTTCCTTGAGGAACAGGTCTGTGATCACCTCCACAGGAGCCACGGGGTGCTTCTCATTGGTCCTTGAATCACCCCCTTTATGCTTTTTTGATCTGGAATGGGAAGTCTCTGGCTCCTCTAATGACCACAAGGAAGTGAGGGCCTTGGTTCCAGACCATATATCCCAAAAATTAGTCTGGACGTTCCTCCGCAAATCCAGCACTTTCAGTTTCCATCCCCTGTGGGAAAGGTGGGGGAAGGGAAAGATGATATTCAGATCTGTTTAGATTGAGGTCACGAGTGATAGGATTGAAACAAGAACCAGACTTTTGACCTGGGGTTTACCTCCTATTGCAGACTCAACTTCCCTTCTCTGCCTTGATTTCCTCCATCTCCTCTTTCCCTAAGAATTTTGCCTTCTCCCAACCTCTATCTTTTCTTGTTACTAGAAGGTATTGGTTACACTTTCTTCAGTCATCCAGAATTTCTGGGTTCCTCTCCCTGAGCCCAGCCTTGACCCTACACCCTCTGAGTAGCTTTACTGCTACCATAAGTAGCTCCAAGGTTCACGCTGTGGTCCCCACCCTTCTTAGCACTTGCTTTTCTTGCTGATTCCCTGGGCTCCACTAGGATGTTGATATTGCTTACTTGGGCTGAACTTTTTGAGAAAGCAGGCCATCTAGCCCATCCAGTGCAGCCTTTAAGATGTCATGGTAAGGCTGCTGAACCTGAACCTTCACCATCAGAGGCCCAAGGGACAGGCGATGAAAGGGCCAGGCTTGCACCATTTCCCGCAATATGTGACTGTGTCTCCCTGCCACAGCAGCCATGAAGACAGGTGGGAAGAGTTCCCTTGGCAGTGACTTCAGAGAATCTATAGCCAAGGTCTTGTCCTGTAGAAGGCTCATCTTTGCAAGATCCAAGAGACTGGGTGGACTCTTCGTGTTCATGTTGAACTTTCTCCAAATATGGTCCTGCAGAAACATGAAGAAAATGATGTTATCTCTCTCAGGCTAAGTATGAACTCCATATTCTCACCACGACACACAGGGACAACTTGGGGTAGAAGTCATTGGTTTGGCCTTTGTGGGATTCCCCAGTGTACACATCCACCTGCACCAGAGTCTCACCAAACTCTGAGAAGGGGGGTAGCACAACCATTACCTCATTTCCCTCCATTCAAAGCCCCATTTCATCCTGGACCCAGAAGGAAGAGAGTGCCACAAGTTGACTGCTGCCACTTTGTGTGAAAATTTCTCAGGACCATCAAACAATGGAGATTGGAATCTCTTTTGGCCCAGCAACATTTATATTCTCAGCTCCAAATTTTAAAGAATCTAATTAGCAAAAATTAAAGAGATTCTAGGTTCTAGTCAAAGACTATAGCTTTTAGTTTGAGTCACATCTCAATATCAAGAAAACAAAAATCTGGTGCAAACACTGTGGAAGGCGGTGTGGCGCTTTCTCAAAAAGTTGCAAATAGAGATACCATTTGACCCAGGAATTCCACTACGGGGAATAAACTCCAAAAAGACCATAACTGACATCCAAGCAGATATATGCACACCCATGTTTATTACGGCTTTGTTCACAACAGCAAGTAGTTGGAAACAACCTAAATGCCCATCAAGAAATGAATGGATAGAGAAGCTGTGGTATATTCACGCAATGGAATACATTAAAAACCAAGGAACTCATGCAATATTATGCAAAATGGGTGACCCTGGAGGACATTATGCTGAGTGAAGTATCTTAGCACAAAAGGACAAATACCGCATGGTGCCACTGTTGTTAAACAGGACTGACCTCGGGGTTGGGGGGAGACTGAGAAAGATGGGTTCAGTAAACATATGAGGGAGAAGACTGTTTAAAAAAGATATGTGATTAGGTATTTTTGTCATGACAGGAGCCCAGAGCAAAGGCTGTATAGTGGAATGGACCTGGGGAAGGGATTGTAAAACAATGAAAGAATTTTTCTTTTACTTTTCCAAGAGGGTAGTGTACTAGAGGGGAGGGTTGGGAGGGGAGAAAAGTGCAACAATGAGTGAATGGAAATCCAAAGTCTCTGTAAATATTCATTGAAATTAATAATAAAATTTTTTAAAAAGTAAAAAAAAAAAAGAAAGCAAAAATCCTCATCCCTGGGCCAACAGGCAACATCATGATAGATTTAGAAAGGATTCAAGATATCAACAAATTCATCTTGCTTGAATTCACACTCAACACCCTTGGTACCAAGAGTTAAGAAATAAGAAGATGTGCTGCAAAAAAAAAAAAAAGAAGAGATGTGCTGCATTATAAGTCACAAAGGGACAAATGCTATATGGTGCCACTGTTGTAGAATGAGGCTGGCATCGGGGTGGGGGTAAGACTGAGAAAAACTGGGTGAAATATGTTTACAGCATTGAAGTCTACGGGGGAGAGAATACTTTAAAAGTATTATATTTTAGGGCATTATGTTTATCATAGGAGTACGCAATGAGGGTTGCAGAGTGGATTTATTTGGGGTTGGGGGTGGGACTGGGGGAGGTGCGGGGGTGATTGTGTACCAATGAGGGAGTTTTTCTTTTGCTTTTCAAGGAGAGGAGCAAACGGGGGTGGGGGTAGGGCTGGGAAAAGGGTGCAACAATGAATGAATGGAATTCCAAAATCTCTGTAGATGTTCATTGAAATGAAAAATAAATAAATTCAAATATAAAAAAAAAAAAACCTTCTGTTGAGGATCTCTCCAAGGTGCTGAGGAACAGTGATGTCAATTTAAAGACTAAGGTGCACCTGATCCAAGCCATGGTCTTTTCAATTCCTTGCTATGTATCTGAAAGTTAGACAATAAGGATGACAGAAGAAGAATAAATGTCTTTGAGTTGTAAAGTTGGAGAAGAGTGCTGAATAACCCATGTTGTTGTTGCTGCTGTTGGTGCCATCAAGTTAGAACTGACTCATAGCTGACCGTCCATTGGGTTTTCAGTAGTGGGTAATCACACAGGAGGTGACTTCCCATCTTATCTTTCAGTGCGGGGTGGGGTGGGGGGTTCAAACCACATCTTTTTGGGACTGTAGCACAGCTTCTTACCACTAGGCCACCAAAGTTCCCTAAATAACCCATGGACTGCCAGAAGAACAATTATGTCTTGTAGAAATTGCAACCAGGTTGCTCCTTAGAAGCAATAATAATCGAGTTTTATTTTCCATACTTTGGGCATACATTATATTGTTGTTCTTGTTAAGTGCTGTTGAGTCGTAGATGACTCATAGCGACCCTATGAACAAAAGGCCTGAACAGTTGTATAACTTATCATTTCTCCAAGTTCATAGAGTTTCTGGAGTCAAGCTATTTTGGAAGTGGATGCCATTCCTGCTTCCAAGCTTGCTTTATCAGGAAGCTCCACCAAACACTGCTCATTGTGGGTAAGTTACCATGGTCACATTTGACACATCGGTGTCACAATGTTTAGAATCACAGCAACCACAAGTTACATCTGTTCAGCAAATGGACAGACCAGTGATATACCACTTTGAAGAATGTTTGAACAAAACCAACTAAAATCAGGCTTGAGGGCCGCAGATTAAAATCATCCTCTTTTGGCTCATTAGCATAACTTTCTACCCATGAGGCCCACAGAGCTCTCTCTGTTGGTGGTGTTGGTATTAAGTGCCAGGAAGTCGTAGACAACTCATAGTGACTCTATGGGCGAAAGACCTGAACACTTGTGTTAACTTTTATCGTTGCTCCAAGTTCATAGAGTTTCTGGAGGCAAGCTATTTCAGAAGTGGACACCATTCCTGCTTCCAAGCTTGTTTTAATTGGGGAAGCTCCACCAAACACTGTCCACCATGCTTAAGTAACCATTATCCCATTTGACACATCAGTGTTACATTCTATTAGGAGATGCCAATTCTTGGAAAAGAAAATCATGCTTGGAAAGGTGGAGAATCAAAGTAAGAGAGAAAGTGCCTCAGCAAGATGGTGACTGTAACAATGGGCTCAAGTATATTAGGGATGATGAGGACGACATATGATAGGGCAAGATTCATATCCACTGTTACCAGGTTTGTTATGAGTCATAATTGTGGCACCTAACACAACAAGAAGTATTTTATATGCTCACAACAGGAAGTATTATATATGTTAAGAATTTCAATTGTTGTTGTTGTTGTTAAGTGCTGTTGGGTCAACTATGACTCATAGTAATCAATATCTGAACTTTGCCTTTTCCTGTATAATCCTATCTCTGATAGGCTCAGGTGCATTGTTATAGTCACTGTGTCAATCCATTTCTCTTTCTCTGAACCTCTGCCTTTCCCAGCATGATGTCTTTTTCCAAGGTCTGAACCATCCCCTGACCACGTACCCAAAGCAGGTGAGATGAAGTATCCCCATCCTTGCCTCTAAGGACCACCCTGGCTGGACTTTTTCCAAGAACAGATGCTTGTTTTTTTGCAGTGCATGAGATAGTCAATGCTCTTCTTCAATACCAACATTAAAAGATATTGATTATTCTTCTGTTACTGTCCAACTTTTAGTTGCATAGGAAGCAACTAAAAAGATCATGAATTGAATCAGACACACCTAAGTTTTTAAACTGTTATCATTGCTCTCTAGCACTCTGAAGATATCCTTGAGAGTAGATTTTCCAATGCAACACTTTTTTTTTAGATCTTATTACAAATTTTTAATTGTTTGAAACCTAGTTTGAAAGAGAAAGACAACAACAAATGGATTCACATGAATGTAGATCCTCTGAATATGAGGCTTCACCAAACCAAGTTTGGAAACCTCTAGTCCCACCTAGATAAGGTCCAGACTCCTTAAGGAGTCAAGGTCTTCCATGGGTTCCTCAATATTCCTCCAACTCTTCTCCCAAAGATCCTGCCTTCTCCCACTGAGGCGGGACTTGGAATGCAGCTTTCACTTTCAAAGGCATCTCCTGTACTTTCTACTCAAGCTGCTTCTCCAGCCTGGCACCACTTGAAGCGGGGTGAGGAGGTGTCACTGAGTAGTTACCATCCAGGTCATTTAGTAAGTTAAAACCACCACTATTTTAGTATTTGAGAATGTTCTTAGGTCAAGGTAGATCCTGCTTTCTCTGCATCTCAAAGGGCTCCATCAGTGCAGGGGGAGCTGTCCAGGCTGGTCTCTCAGTGTCAGCGGGAGCGGGTCCCAGGGGAGTGAATAAGTGGGCTCTCTTGGGGAGGGGCCTTTAGAAGGAAGCAGTAGGATCCTTTAAGGTCAGACTCTGGAGGGCATCTCAGAGCTCTCTCAGAAACTGGAATGAGCGAGACCCAGGGCTAGCAGGGCTTCATCAATCTGCCGATTTGGGTTTTTTCTTCAATGCTAGGTTGGCGGAGAGCGTCTTGGCTTCCTCCCAGTGTGGGGTTGCCATAGTCTCTGGCCTGGCTCGCGGGGCTCCCGGGGGTTCCCAGGGCTCCATGCCGTGGCTCTGAGCCGGGTCCAGGCAGGAGCAGGCGGCTGCTGAGATGCGGGGGGGCTCGCGGGGCAAGGCGGCAGGAGGCAGGCTACAACACTTCTTTTTTTTTTTATTTTATTTTATTATTTTTGTGTGCGTGTACCGTCAAATCAGATCTGACTGGTACAGGAGGAGATTGCCCCTCCTTCCCCGGCAGAGCATCTGGTGGATTCGAACCGTGCACCTCTGGGATTGTAGTTGCAGCTTCTTGCCACTAGGCCACCAGAGCTCCCCAAACACTTCTTTTGATTTCTTCACTGACCTTACCATGGGAGGTAGGTTGCTGACTCAAGTAAAATTAAATCACTGTCAGCTTCAATCTTTTCTCCGTATCACGCTGTTGCCCACTGGTCCGGTGGTGAGGGCTTTTCTGCTTTCTTGATATTTAGATGTAATACATATTGACTGTCGGATCTTTAATCTTTGGTAGCAAGTGCCTGAAGTTCTCTTCATTTTCTGTAAGCAAGGCTGTGTCATCTACA